ATTCCTGCTAGCATTCACCTTCAGCTGAGAGCAGAGCTAGGAACACGTCCAAAAAAGCGGCAAATGCTGGTGGTTTAGATAGGCAACACAATGTATGTGTGAGAACTTAAATAAGACTATGTATCTTGGCTTTCAAAGATACTCAGTGCCAGAGGGCTTTTGAACTTCCTGATGTAGAAACTTCATGCTTTGATGGTGGGAAAACAGCAAATGTGAATATGATGTGGAGAGCGATAGCTAGTGGAGGGATGCTCACTTCTGCTGTGAAGTTTCCAACAACTTCTGATTTGTTTTGACAGGAGCTCTGTGAAGATCCTCACCTGTTTGTGAATGGAATCAGTTCCCATGACTTGCACCAAGGCATCCTGGGCAACTGCTGGTTTGTGGCTGCGTGCTCCTGCTTGGCTCTGCAGGAGACCCTCTGGCAGAAGGTTGGTTATAATCTGCTCGGTGTGTGAAATAAAGCTAATAAAACCTGGCTGTTTCCCTACCTATCAGCCAGTGATTTTCCCTCTGGGACTAATATGCAGCTGATAAGTGGTGAGTTTTGGAGGATTCAAATCTTCCATTTCTTTAGAAGTTCATATTTCATGCTATGAGTCCCCCCTCTCCAGCCCATAATCTCATTCAATGCCAAAGAAGAGATGTAGCGAATGCAGGGAGTATCTATAATGGTTCTGTTGGTCATTCTCTGCAGATAATTCTGAATTTTGCATTCCTAAACGATTATTTCAAATGGGACTATGTTTGGCTTTGTACCAAATTCACCATCATTTTCACTGCCTCAGCTATTTAAGCTCAGCTGCTCATGAAACTGAATGCCGGCGTAGTACACGCTCCAGGGCAGTCTGCCCTCTGAATAAAAGCTGACATACTGCATTTGGTGAACTTTGCCTTGCATGGTTTCTCAGGTGATTCCAGACTTTAAAGAACAAGAATGGGACCCTAAAAAACCGGAGAAATATGCTGGGATTTTCCATTTCCGGTTCTGGTGTTTTGGAGAATGGACAGAGGTGGTTGTTGATGATCTGCTGCCAACAATGGATGGGAAGTTGATCTATTGCCATTCCAATGTGAAAAATGAATTCTGGAGCGCACTGTTGGAGAAAGCTTATGCAAAGTATGAGCTATTTCATTGTCTTTTTAGTCTTCAGTGCTGTCCCTCCTGTCCATCTGCTCGTTTTGTCTCTCAGCCTTACCATATTTTCCATAGGTTTTAGGTTTGCTGCCAACAGAAAACCTAAAATAATTGAAAATTCCTCCTTTAATCTGCAAGGTGGAGGTGCACCGTAAAGCAGTGCATTGCACTCAACTTCCGCAGCCCAAAACCCTTAAGGATCTTTCCACTCCTTTCCTAGAAGCCCAGCAAAGCTTCATCTATAATTCGCTCTTCTGTTTCTTTTCTTATCTGGTGTGCCACAAATACATTACCTACATTCAGGCTAAATCAGGGCCCTTCTAATGACCACTGGGTGAGTGAGAATGTTCTGGGTTACCTCTAGGCTGGCTGGATCTTATGAAGCTCTAGATGGAGGCAGCGCTGCAGATGCAATTGTGGATTTCACTGGAGCAGTGGCGGAATCTGTTGATCTGATACAAGGCAAATACAGAGAGATTATTTCTGAACAGATAAAGCTGTTTGAAGACTTGCTGAAAGTGCATACGAGAGGCGGGTTGATCAGCTGTTCCATCACGGTATGTATGGAGAGCAGGACTTTAAGTATTTATTTCAATGAATATTCTTATCTGGAAAAAAATACTGCTATCAGTATAAGTATATTGAGTTTGTCCTTCATTTGTGTGCTTTGGAAAAGCTTTGTGTGGAAAAAGCTAGCAAGCTGGCAGTGCTGTCAGCCAAGTACAACTCTCAGACCCACCAAACACAATCACAAAACCACAAAGCTGTTTGTGCTGCTTGCCACTTTACTGTGGATCTGTAACGCCATTCTTTCTGAATGGCCACAGTGTGTATTGACCCAAGGTTAATCCACCTAGAATGCCCTAATTTGCAGTCCAAACGGCAACGTTCAGTTTGTTTATTTCTTATGGAAATCCATTTACAGAAAACAGTTCTCCTGGTGCTAAGCTGCTGAGGCTTCTTGACTCTTGGTTGTGATAATGGAGTCATCTCGTCAGGAGCTGAGCTGAAAGGTTGAGCTCACTTAGGTGTTCAGGCAGTACTATTTGTTAATAAGACTCCCCATCAAAGCTGAGCAGCATAACTTACCTACTCCAGCTACCGCGAGGTAGCTAACACAAATGCTTACGTTTGGAGATCATGGGCCTGAGGTTCTCTTAGTCAGTAGAGAAGGGCTGCCTTCCCCGCAGGTGATTCAGGGTTGCCTTCTGTGGGAGCTTTACCTCTCTCCATTCACTTGAGGGCCTAGAAAGCAGCTTGCAGAGGGTGCTACCTGCTTCACAGACAGACAAGGGCCTTATGCAGCCCCTTGCCACGGAAGGGGCAGTGCAAAGCTGTGACAACTGGGCTAGCTCTCCTTCCGTCAGTCTGCAATGTCAGGCCACGTCTGGGCAGCACGGAAATGTTCATCTTTCCTGAAGCTGTTACTGCACATGGCCCTAGGGCTAACCAGCTGCCATGGCAGCCGAATAGTGCCTAAAAGTTTACTTTTAAATTATTTTTAAAGTGGAGCCTGTGGGGAAGGGTTTGTTCTCTAGAAATAGCAGAGCTGGCATGTAGGTGCTCTTTTGCCTCTTACTGCTGTGCCCTCTGCTTCCAGTTTTGTAGACCTTAGCTAAGGCTAATCTCTGTGGGCTTAGTTAAATCACTTAAACTCTCTGCTTTAATTTCCCATTCTGTGAGATGAAGATCATATTACCCCAACGCTTAACTGTTTCCTACCTTGCAGTCAGCAGCGTAAGTGCTGAAATCCACAGTGACCTGCTGAATCCTCCAGTGCAGGTTCGTTCAGAGACTCTTGCAATATGATGGTAGTTGTGCAGTTGTCCAGAACAACAGGAAATCAACCATGTTTGCAGATGGCTCAGAAAATCATCTGTCTAGCTAGGCCTGACCATGCACTGACCTGTGCCAGGGCCACAGTACCAAAGAGGTACCTTGTGGGACGCGAGTCCGAACCTTGAGAACTCAGTGAGCATAGAACAGGCATCCCAAACTGTCCCTCCCAGGGGCATCAGGCAACATCTCAGAAACAAATTCTTTTAGATCTTTGGTGTTTGTTTTACTTTTTTCACAAGGTCTGAATTTTTACTTAAAAATTGTTCATCTAAGTTTGCTCAGACCAGGCTAAGTGACTGCTTGCTGGTGCGAATCCTGTGGACGGTGTTTCAGGGATGTAAGAATAGGTTGTTCCCAAACACTAAAGCGGGTTCTATTTCTTAACATGAATCGTGTGAAGGGACAACCAAAGTATGGGGAGTTGTATTAAAAAAGGTAATTAATTAATTAGACAATTGGAATCCCTTCACTTCTTTCTGGCATTATATTTCTGCTTGTCAAATTAATGCTTCTAAACATGAAGAGAGGCTGCTTCTGTTGATTTGGTGTGACTCGTTTGCTATTCATCACTTTGTGATAGACGTATTACACACACAACAAAGCTTCCTAGATGTAGAATATGTAATACCCAAGTGGTTTCATCGCTGACTTACAAACATGCCAACGTTTTTCTTAGATTATAAAATAGCCCTGAGCTTCAGCATTTGGAAATTCGAACAGACAGTAGATGTTTAAATATCTTACTAAAATAAATAAATAAATGGCTTCAGAAAGAAGTGGCAGAGGCAGCCCAGCAGTAAGAAAAGCCTGGGGGATAATAAAGGCAGCAGGAGCGACTGCATACTTCTGCGCTGTCAGGGAGAGAGGCTCTTGTTTGCTTTTAGTTGTGAAAAATGTAAGTGAAAGCGTTATGTTGGAGAAAGCCCAAACCCATTAGAAACGTCAACCAGTCTTGATATAGCACATGAGCTGATTCTGTAGAAGCTTTTGTTGGTGAAAAGCACAGAGGTGTTGGCAAGAGGCTCACACTTGCTAGAGTATCCGTCAGTTCTGATTTGGTAGAACTTTCTCTTTTACCCTTTTTTTTTTTATGATTTCTTTTTTTTGGGGACTGAGCACTGTTGTATCAGTGCAACACCTGCCTTTAGGAGGACCCCATCTACTCAGACCAGAGAAATTTTGAAATAAGTAAAGGGATCAGGTCATTCAGAGCCACTCTAGCATCTTTATATGACATGGCTTTTCTGTTTTTAGATGCGCCTATAAGATCTCGAGCCTGTTCCGTTAAATGAAATTGGGATCTTTTTGGTAGCTTGCCAATTGTCACATATTCTTAGATTAGTGCCAGATCAGGCCTAGGTCACCCAGCAGGACAGTTCACTGCCTGGTCACTGCTGGAAACTAGGCTTCTTAAGTGAATTCTATGAGGAACAAACCAAGTTCCTATCAAAGCCCGCAGAGCTGCCAGTTGCCAAACGAGAGGGACCTGCCAGGGCAGGAGTGAGGTACAAGGCAGGTTTGACAAACAGATAAAAAGCTTTCTTGGTTGTGCCACTTATTTTTAGCCACTGCAAGTAGTTTTTTTCTGGGTATTAAATCTACCCCAACAGAGAAACCTCCGTTAGAATCACCAGCTAAATCCAACCTCCAGTTAAAGACAGCACCAGACAGTGCTATGTCTCTGTGCAATCATCAGTATCTAGAATGGTCATTTGTAAAGTTGACAAGATTTTGAAAGGGCTGATTAAGGTTATCTATCAGCCAGCCTTTCACTGTGTGTGCCCAGGAGGAGACAGAATGAGCACAGCAGGCAGTGTTCTCTGCTCCGGGTCTCTGTCTGCTAGGACTTATCTGGCACTATCACATGCAAAGCCAGACTAGTCAGCCACTAGCTTTGAGCCCCAGTGCAAATTTTTTGCTGCTATTTTCCTGCATAGTCAAAGCACTTGGCAAGGGAACGTATAACTCTGCTAAAGAAAGCAAGCCATGTCCCCAGTGAATGTGTACGTCAGGTGCTCTCTCTCACAAGCGTGAGTTCTTGCCCTCTCTTTTTTTTTTTTTTTTAATTGTCATTTCTTGGTACGAAAGGCTTCCAATGGCAGTGCCAATGAGATGGAGACAGAGATGGGTCTCGTCATCGGTCATGCCTACTCAGTGACTGCAATTCGGAAAGTGCGCCTTGGAGAAAGACTCATACTCTCTTTTAAGGCAGAAAAGCTCTTCATGATCAGACTGAGGAATCCCTGGGGAAAGAGGGAGTGGAACGGTGCCTGGAGCGACAAGTAAGTGCTGGAAACTCCAGCATCAAATGAATGAAACTGCGTTTTGGGGCCACTGGAAGCTTAGATGCATGATTAAACCCTGTGAGACACAACGTCAGTTTGCAGTACTCACTGGTGGCTGAGACGTTGTTCCATCCCTTCATAAGTATAGCATTCTGTGAGCAAATGAGCATCACATCCTGAAACAGCAAGAAGGGAGATGACTTCCTGGGCCTTACTTTACTGCATGCATCAGTCTTCTGGCACACTGGCACATGGGTAGAAAAATAGCCCACAATTAAGGCGATGAGTCAAGAACAGGAGGTCTGCTCCCAGCTTCACCACAGAATCTGTCTATGACTCAGTTTCCCATCTGTAATTGCCAGGGATGGTATGAGTCCTTCATTCTAAAATAAAGTAAGAGACTGAGGAAAAATGCTGTAAAATTGCCACATTTGTAATTTCTTGAATTATTTTGTAATGAGTTTCAGTGTGGGCCATGGGCTTAGCAGACCCGCCCAACAAAGATGGAAATGACTGCTGGAGGTGATAAATTCCGTTGCTGACAGCTTACGCATAAGAAACTTTTAATTAGGACGTTGCAGTTCAACACTGTGCTTCACAATCACTTATTCAGAGCTGTTAGCACTTAATAATACAATGTTCTTAGTAACAGTGTGTTAAGTTCCTGTCTTCCATAGTTTACCTGGCAAAGGAACCTTTCAAACATGACTTTGGCTGGATGAAATGCTGAGGTGGCAGGATGCAAAGAAGAGTGAGCGTGTGTTGTTTAACTTACGCCCGTGTGGTTCTCAGGTAGGACTTACCGTGGCAAAGCTGCCGCTCACTCTGGTGAAAACACTGAGAAAGGACTCTGAGACTGGACCATGATTTTGGCCTAATAGAATTAAACAGAGAATTTCCAAATTGGTTAAGAAAAAGTCTGTTATGACAAGCAATCTCTTCCCCCCTGCCAACCACCCTTCAACTTTATCCAACAAGTACTTTTTGGAAAGGGGGATAAGGAATCGTGGTTTCATTTGCCTCCTGTAACACATAGGGAAAGGCATAAATCATCTGCTGTCTCCTATCAGATGATTTAAGCATCAGACCACTTGAAGTAGGATCCTGTGCTCCCCTGCAGTCAGTGGAAGAGGCAGCTGCCTCCAGGCAACAATGCATACCTAAGTCCCTAAGTCGCATATTGATGCAGGCAATGCAGTGTGTATGTAGTCTAGTGTTACTCTGAAAACTGGACGCTAAGATTGTACTGCAACAGTTTCTTCTCAGAGGCTCTCTGGGGAAATCTAGGAAGCTCTCATCCCTTTTTTATTTAAGGAGATTGAAAGACAAAGAAAATGCTCTTATCCAAGTGAAGGTCTAAGCTTCAATCAGCTCCTGAGGAGGGAGTGCAAGTTTCTTTTCGTGTACTTTTGAAGGACCTTTAGAGAGTGGAGTCAATCTGATAGGACCTTCCAAACCAGCTGTCCTAAGGGAGGGTGTGACAGAAGAAATCAATGAAGTTCTGCTCTAGTTGTGCCAATTTGCTATTCACCACCTATCTTTTGTTTTGGTAGCTTTCAAATCAGTGCATGTTTTAAAACTGTATCCTCCCATGAGCCACACGTGTTCTTCTAGAATATCATCTACCCTTTCAGTACCCTGATGTTACCTTTATAAAAGGGATCATGAGAGAATTTTACTTGCAATTATTTTTTTCCAGGTAATAATATTTAATTTAATTTACTAAATCATCTTTATGGGGTTTTTTTCCCTTCTAGTTCTGAAGAGTGGAAGAAAGTCAGTAATTCAGAACGTAAAAGGTTGGGACTCACTGTTGAGAATGATGGAGAGTTCTGGTGAGTGGGAGTCATGTGGAGGGTTTGGAGATGATGGCGACACTGAGTAATTGACATTAATTCTGCCTTTTAACAGCTTCAAAAACAACTTCCCCAAATGGATAAGAACATCCAGTTATCCAGTCCTGGCACAAGGTCTGTTTCTTTTAGACTCTCAGGGAATGACAGAGGAGAACAGGAAAAAATGAGTTAGAAACCAGTAGAACAAGATGAGCTCTGAGTAAATACAAGTTTCAAACACCCTCAAAATCTATCACCTGTATTTAGGACATCGATTTATGATTCAGGATAACACATGTGCTGTTGTGCATACGACAGAATACCAAATATTGAACGTGCTGTCGATCCTGTTTACTGACTACAGTGTCTGTAGGATTTCTGTGTCAACCAGGGCTGAGGTATCTGTAAATACAATTGCAGCCAAAGAATTTGGTCAGTGTTTTGCAGGATGTGGGGGAGGAGAAGCATTCATTCCCTACAGGATCTCTAGAACTCTTAATCGTTTTCCCCTGCTTAAACCTTAGATCCATCAAGTTGAGCACTGTTGTTCAGAGGCAATCCAGCAATTTCTGCAGTAGACCATCAATACTGCATCTAAGAGCTGAAAATCTTATATTTGCATGGCTTTGTCAGAACTGCCAACCGGGAGCCAGCCATAGGGTTTGGTCCTAGGCTGTTAATAAGCCAGGACATGATGTTAGTCCAGAGATGCCATGCTGTTCTCTCTTACCAATATGATGTGAGTGTTTTTTAACTGCCATTCAGGCCAGTCTGTCACCTTAGTAGACACAGGTTATAGCATGGAGATGCTGTCAGGAGCTATGTCCTGAGTACACACGTTTGAATCATGCTTAGGAGCAGCTGTTTACAGCAAGCACCTTATTAATGTTATTCTTGAGGAGTGGACAGTACTTTGGTCACAGGTGATCACTTTGCCTTTACGAAATAAATGGTGCCAAATCTGTGCTGATAGATACAACCTATCCTTTAGGCTTAGGCCCTCCAACTGAGCAAATCCAGAGCTGACCAAACACAGTGAGGTTGTCTTTATCCACAGTAAGTTCAAAGTGTGATTATGGCTTCATAAGCGTTTCTGCATGGAGAGGTTTCTAGTGAATCGGTTTGCCCTTGACTTAATCTGAAAAGCTGAGCAGCACCTTCTCTTATATTACTAGATGATTTCATGTGTTATTTTGGCTCTTTGGGTGAGAAGCACTGTTTATTTTTAAATAAACCACAAATTTCTTGGTATCCCCTGGTACAGGATGACATTTGAGGATTGGTGTAAAAATTTCACTGATGTGGATATCTGCCGGATAGTGAATACCTCCTACTTCAGTATCCACAAGACCTGGGAGAAGAAAATGATGCATGGGGCTTGGACAAAGAATTCAGAGCCCCTTCTAAATCGCTCTGGTGGATGCTTCGATAACAGAGACACCTTCCTGCAAAACCCCCAGGTGGGAACTTCTGTACTTTGCACAGTATTAAAGTGTGTCCACCTTAATTAGGGCTTCTGAAGTATCCACTTTATTTAGGGCTCAGCAATGACTGCTTGATAGAAATCTCATTGCAAGTGTCTGTCCTCTGGGAGTGTGTTGGTTCACTGCATGTTTCAGTGATGTCTGTGAAACCTTTCAGAAGAATTTAGCTATTTATTTAGGATTGATCCTATTTAGGACTAATGAGTCAGGGACACATGGGTGAGTGAAGTCCTGCCTAAACTTTGTTTAGTTTCCCGATTGTAGAAAAACAGCAGGTTGCTTTTCTAGTGACAGAAATCCGTTCACTTAACACCCTTAAACATCAGGAGGATTTGGTCCACTGTAATTAGTTCGTATCCCTTTGTTCTGATCTTAAGTTTCAGAAAGTATCCAGTTCGTGCCCCAAGCTGACCCTCTCTTCAGTATTACAGGACTCGCCTTGTCTCATCCTAGCTGGTAGCTCTTAAGCTGTTCTGGTTATCTGCTCATCCATTATTCTTCCTCCATTTCACACCTTCCTTTGCCTCTCAGGATTGTACATTTTCAGCCCAGTGTATGCAAATTCAGGCATAAAACTGCCATTACTGTCAATGACTGCTGGGCACTTACTGCTTTAGGTATTACTTTGAAAATTGCCCTTTCTGCTCTTTTATAACTCCCCACATACTTCACATTGTTAAAGATATTCCTGTGTCTGCTTCTCTGCACTTATGTGGGAGGTTTCTGTCAGCACCCCCAGGATACTGGGGAACTGTAGCCTTTGCTATTCAGACTAGGAGTGATCTGAAACTCCCTGCTCATTCTGTCATTTAGGTGTAGACGGAGAAGTTGTTCTTCACTGCTCTGTCTTGTGCCAGCGCATCCTTTCCAAAGGGTGATTTTATTCAGATGTTCCTCTGTGTGATTCTGGATATATTCCAAGTGCTTGTGTGGGTCTTATTTGTAAGTGTTTAGCTGCCATGGAGAACAAAATACATAGCTGTTGTGGTTGAGTACAATGCCTGGTGCAGTGGAAGGAGTTCCTTTTATTCCAGTTTTGTCTCAAGGCTGGTTGATTAGAAGGCTCTTAATAGCAGTGCTGGAACATATTTATGTTAGCTTAGGGCCATTAGAAATTACTGTAGCATATACTACCGTAGTCTAGAGATGATCTCTGTCTGGTCTCCCAAAGTCAACTACTTGACTCTGAGGCCTCCTGTGATGTTTGTCTATTCAGAGAGGGATTGTGACACTTTGGGTTCCATTAAAATAAGGGAATTGAAGCCAAGTGTAAACGTATTCCCACAGCCTCCTGCTGATTTCCAAGTCGTTACCCATTAGGACAGCTGAAATGTCATCAGATCAAAGGTCCTAACAGTCACACCTCTCATCAGACCGAGACTCTGGAGCTCTCACAGTTCCCTTTCTGCAGCTCCATTTGCCCTGGGACATCCCAGGCTATCTGACAAAATAACACTGCATGTGGTGTAACAGGGACAAGAATTCGAATGCGCCCCAATACGTGTTGCTGCATATTTGTCTCTCGTTTTAGACTCTCTTCGCAGAGGCTCTTCACAGTCCTTAGGATCTGTGCTTTTTCTGCCCCAGCGTTGGTATAACACACAAGTAGGGGTGCAAAGAAGCACTGATTTTTGTACCAAGAAAGAACCAGCCCAGAACAGCAGACAGTAGTTCTGCCTGATCTGGACTGTAAATACTGGGAATAACTAATGAAGCCCAGAGGCTTGGGAAGGAATTGCTTTTCTTTGCAATACCGCTGTGCTTCAGCCAACTCTGCCAGAAGTTGGTATTTCCTCCCTGTGTGTGTGACACTGCCTGAGAGAGTGAGGGTCGGGGGTGAGGAATGGGACGATGCCTTATTCTGCAGAGCTCTAGCCACAGAGGGATGTGTAGTCATTGCAGGAGATTGTTCCACAGCAGTAACCAAGGCAATCTCAGTATCCACCTCAGAGTAAAAACTCTGTGAGAATTTGCTTTTCAGCAGCTCTTGGAGAAGCAGGGAGCGGGGAGTTGAACCCCTGATGATATTTCTCTCCATGCTAGTCAAAGTTTTCTGGTTCTGCTTTAATTGGGATGTGTGATGCATATAGTAGCCAGCTGGATACCACTGCAGTTTTATGCTGTTATACGTTTACTTCACGTTTAGAGGTCTTTAAGGATGGGAGAATGCAACATCTGCCTAAACTTTGCAAAGTAGCATCTTCTTCCCCTCCATTCATTCCTACAGATTATATTTGCCCTCTGTATGCAAAGAAGAAACAGAATTTAAAGGCATCTCTAAGTGTGAAAGAGTTTGAGCGTTAAATTTTTGTCATACAAGGAAACACCCATCTGACTTTTGCCTATTGAAAGCCTTTGTATATACTGGGGGACTTCTGTGATAGCAGTATTTTAATAATGCAAGCAATCCAAATCTGGTTTTTTTGAGATGGGAATTGCTGTCTAAACTTGAAATAGTTTGATTGGTTCTAAAATCCAAGTCAATTCAAGTTGACTTTTAACAGTTTGGATAAAAGATTTGCATTTGAAAGACACAGAAGTCCTTCTTAGCCCTTTTCACCGGGGTATTGCTAAGACTTTCAGGAAAACCAAGAAAGACCAAAATTGGCATTTCTGTCATTCTTATGTTAAATAGAAATTGTAAGCATAGAGCAAAGTGGAGTTTTTGTTGTTGTTGTTGTTGTTGTTTTGGTTTTGGTTTTGAACTAACATTCAGAAGATTCCTTCATTTGCAGGTCATGTGTAAAGATGATGTTCAAAGTTCACAGGCCCTGTTTAGATATCCAAAACAAAAACAAAAAAAGAATCTAAAATGATCAAATACCCCATCTGGAGTCTGTTGGTTTAATTTTTTTTTAATCGCTGTCCTGATTTATATAAATCTAAATACAACTTAATCTTTCATCTTCTGCTTTTCGAGCACATATTCTCTTCTGCTGCCTCAACAGTTATTTTGTAATACTGTCTCCTGCTGTCCTCTAGGTGAATTACCTCTTTCAGTATCTCTGATACTTCTAGTTTAAAGACTTTTATAATTAGCATTAATTTTCATTTTTGAATTTCTGAGAATATCTCTCTCATACAGAACTCTCCTCCCACCCACAAATGTCTTTTCAGGTACCTCCCTTGGATGTATATATTTCTTTAGTAATGGCTTTATATTGGTATCCTAAGGCATTTTTAACAACTCATCCTCTTGTCTCTTGTGCTAGTACATCTTTGATGTTAAGAAGACCGAGGACAAAGTGTTGGTCTCGTTACAACAGGAGGATCGACGCAGGTACAAGAAAGAGGGGAGAGGAGAGAGCATCCCCATTGGCTTTGAAATATTCAAGGTAGGCAGCCATCTGCGCTTCTGGGTTCGGAGCTTGCCCACCAGCCTGCTGCGTCCTGGCCGCGAGATCTCTGGCAGAGAGGGGCACAGTTCCCACAGAGGGGTCTGGCTCTCTGCTCAACATGAGCTTCCCGTGCATACTGCATTCAGCTACCAGAGCTGTCATTAGACTATCTGTTTGAACTAAAATCAATTTAGTTCCATTCAAACTCCAGTTGAACTAAAAGAGCATGAGTAATTTTTCCTTCTTGTAAAAGAATTTTAAGTACTTTTCCTTCCCAAGTTTGGAAGAGAGAATTTTTTTTTTCCCCTACAAAAAACATTAATGCTTGAAACTTGGAGGTTTTATTTAGTTTTTCATTTGCTCTTTCTCTTTCCCCTTCTCACTGGATTTTCTCTGTTCCTGCCTCCATTTTATCAGCAAATACAGCCAAATGAGTTGAAAAGTTTACAATTTTTCTTTTGCCACTTAGAAAGGCCAGAAGAGTCAGGAGTGTTTAAGCTGGAGTAATGAAAAGGAAATGAACAAATGTGAAAAGGAAGCAAAGGGATCCCAAACAATAATTTAATTGCAGTCCCAGGACAAATTGACTAAATTGATTAAAATGAAAACACAAGAACCAAGAGAAGAAGGAGGAGGAAGCAAGAGAAACAGCTGTGGATCTGGCTTTTCACTAGGGATCAAGCTTATTTTATTACCTATTGCTATAGCTGGTGGGGCTATACTGAGACTATGGCCCTACCCCAAAAAACAGTAAATAATGGTGCCCTATAGAGCTATTGACGTTTGTATCACACCTGCACATTTGACAATCACCTGTTAACCAGACATATTGAAAAGTGTCATTATGGAAAGTGGCGTAATCTCTCTATACCTTGCTCATGGCTAGTCAGTACAGCTAATTAGTAGAAAGGCTTGGAAAAGAAAATCACACCCGCAGAAAAGTGTCAGTGCTCTCTTTTATTTTTGTTAATATTTTCTATTTCAGAAGTATTCTCGCCTTCCAAATGCATTACTATGACTAAGGGCCTTTGGAAGACCATGGCCTAAATTATCTGAAGACAATTGAGAGCTACCAGAAAAGAATATAGGGCTGTCTTTGCCCTCATTTGCTGAAGAAATAAGTTTGTATCTTAAGTAGGCTGTGGCAAACATCAGCTCCCAGAAAAGGATGTTAATAGTTGAGCACAGCTTCAAGGCTTAGAACAAAACATAAATAGTTATTCTGTGGTTTTTGTATTCAGGAAAGGACAATGAAAGTACAGCTGTGGACATCTGGATGCTCTGGATTGAGAGCCTGCTGTTAGACGCGCTCGTGCGCTTAGTACTGGCTGCTGGAAAAGGGAGGAAGATGAATTTCTGTCTCTTCTAAGATGGCGGTGTAGCTTAGTGGATGGAGTCCTTGGCATGTCTGAAGGGCTTTTATGTTCCTAATTCTGCCGTTGCGGTATTATAACTCTGTCAGTGGGTGCATGTCTTTGCCAGGTCACCCCGACCTTAGGGGTGTACGTGTGTGTACCAATGTAGTGAAGTGCAGAACAGCACTGCTTGGGAGGCAGCGTGGGCTAGTGCTTTGAGCGCTCGGTTGACCATCAAGACCATGTCTCTGCCCCATCTTCAGCAGGTCAACTGTGCCAAACCATTTGCCTTTACAGAACATCATCTCTTCTGCTCATAAAAGTCTCTGAAATCTGCAGGGAAAGTTTTGCCTGCTAGCCCTCCCCCCTAATATCCCTCATTGCATCAATTTCTCTACTGCTCTGTGGCTGTAGGTGGAGGATAACAGAAGCTATCGGCTACACAAGCTGACTGTGCAGGAGAGAGTGGCCACATCTATGTACATCAATACCCGCACTGTGTTCTTGAAGAGGGTCCTTAAGCAAGGCCGCTACGTCCTTATCCCAACTACGTACCATCCTGGCATCATTACAAAGTTTATCCTGAGACTCTTCACAGATGTGCCATCAAAACTCAGGTACTTGGAACATCACAGCTGTGCGGGATCTTCCCTCGCCCGTATTGGCTGCAACTCCTTGGAAAGGGTCGCCACCAAACGTCCTTTGCTCACTGACACACCTCAGTCCAGAACTAGGCCTTGAGGTAGTCGTGGTCACCTCCAAGAATCTCCAGAGGGCTCACTGGGATTTGTGCATGCCTAGGACACGTTTATTTAGGGACCTAGGAGCAGGCGACTGAGTTTGGGTCATTTAACCCTTTAGTTAGGCTTTTGTAGTTGCCTCTGGTTCTAGACCTGAACCCCCTGAGCACTGGTGCTTGCAGGTACAGTTGATGCTGTTTACTTCTCGGACTGTCTCCCTTGAAACAAGTGGATATCTGAGTGTAAAACTAGTGCACGGTGAAATTGAGCCCACCAAATTTTTGTCTTGCTTTGATACCGTTTTCCATAGTTTAAAGTTTTTTGTGTCCCTGTCATGCAAAGGATGACACGGGTTTGTTATAGTTTGCTTTTATTTCCTTAAGCATGTCATTCCTATACCACAAACGTCCAAGATGACAGGTGGGGAGAGAGTACAAATCTTGATGTTCTGTAAAGGGCCTAGCTTCCACCGCTGCTGATTGTTTGCTTGGCTTTCATCACTTCAATTCTTTGCCTTGATTTTTCAGAGAGCTGAAGGCAGATAAGCCCAAAATGACATGTTGGAGTCTTCTTTGTGGCTATCCACGTAGAGTCACCCAAATCAAAATTCACTCTGCAGAGGGCTTACAGAAGCAAGACAGATCAGGTGGTAAGTGTAAAGCCAACCTGGAAGGGTGGGAAGGGCTTCCTCAGTCCTCTAAAGCTGGGCAGAGTTAATATTCAAGCAGTCAGAAATTACCCAAACAGCTTGAAGGTTTGTGGGAGTTTTTTGCAGCACTTTGTAAAATCTACTGAAAAGGAGAGCTGAGATGAATATGATGATGCAAAGTCATGTGTCAAGCAAGAGTCATGTGTCATCTGTGCTGGTCCACATGGGCAGTACAGCCAGGCCTTCCTGAAAACCTTTTTGTGGGGATTAGTAAGAAATTCACCTCTCAGGGTTATCTGTTTTCCAAAAAGGAAAAAGGCGAGGGAGACAGGTGAATAGCACGCACTCCCTTAGTGTGTTACCCTTACCTCAGCAATGTCATTCAAGGCCTTCAGAGCACTTTGCTCTTCATTACCACAGGCTTAGTGGCACTTCAGAGAGGAAATTGCTGTATTCAAGCAACCATTTTCAGCCGGGTAGACTGATACAGGGAGAGGCTAAATGACTTACACAGGACTATGTGTCTACAGGTCAAAGGAAGAGTCCTGAAGAACACTAAAATGTCCTTTAGTTCCCGATGTTGACAGTTAATTAATAAACTTGTCCAGCTGTTGTCATTTGCTCCATCCTTTTCTACGCCTGCTCTCCATCTTCCTTCATCATCCTTCACTTCCCATGGCCAATGGAACAGAAGGAGGCAGTCGCATCCCGCACCGAGTGGTTGGTAGGGAGAAAGCAAAGGAGCAGAGACACTTTGGTGAACTTGGAACAGGAAACTAAAGAGACTGCTGAAACATCTGTATTTGCTCCAGATAACTCTGCAGCGCTCCTTAGTTCAAGATGCAGAACTCCACTGCATTAACTCCTTGTGGTAGAGAAGTCATTAGACTTAGACTTATAATACAGTCAGTCTCAAGAAACAGCTGCAAAATATCTCCCACCAGCTGGTTACAGTTTTGTTCCGGTCCCCTTTTCATAGTTATTCCTGGCACCCATAGAGTGGAGACTGAATGTACTTTTCACTGTGCAGGGCACTTTCTGTTAACTCTGGTCGTCTCTTCAGGGGACAGGAATGTTGGAGGGAAGACACGCAGGAAATTGTTTCAGCTCGTTTTTCTTGGCGCTTTTCTTTAACAACAGTGACTGCATACACCTCAGTCAAACAAGTAGTATGGCTCCATGTTCTCAGAAAGGCAAGATGAATGGGTGAGCCTGAAGGGGGAATTCATGACTAGAGGAGCAGAGCAGTGATTTGAAAAGAGGCAGTATGTTCTTGTTATCCCTGTGAAGAACATTTTCATTTTTAAGTTTTTTGTTCCCATTTAAAATTCCTTAAACATTGTCCTCCAACATTCCCTGCAGCAAAACAGTAAAAGCCAATTATTCACCCTTAGCATTTCACAACCCTTAACACAATTGCAGTCATGACAGGATCCTTTGAAGCAGTTGCCTGCAGCGGCCAAAGAGCAGGTCCAGCTCAGAAAGCGTTGTGGGATTTGGTGTGTTGTGACACAGACCATCAGGACTATACACATGGGACTTAAAACCAATGAGTAATAAGGATTCCTCCAATAACATAGCCCAAAATACCTTTAGGACACCCATGCTAATGTGGCATACTCAGGTTGAATAGCAAATGCCTCCATTCTGACTTCAGCGTTTGGTATTGGGCTGATGATTACCCTGAAAAAAAATGAAAAGGTACCCTATTGTGAGAAGAACCGTCTATGGGAAATGGGCACGCAGATTTTCTGTTTATAAAGCTAAGCAAAATTTCTGCTTGAATATTTTATCTGCTGAAAAATGCAGATTTGAGTCAAGGGATAAAGTGATACTATTTGTGAATTTGTATTCATCAAGTGGCTGAAGAAATATTTAAAACATTCAGTCTAATTATCAACGTCAGTCTTTTTTGAAGTGGTTCCATTTTCCTTTGTGAAACAACGTGCCATTTTTAAATTTATCAGAAATGTAAAGGGATCTGAACACGCAGCCTGAGTGAATCTTGTGACTTGACTTTGAATAAAACTTCACCAAAAAAAGTTAAAATATTTTCCTTTTGGGGCATCCTAAAGCTTTTAGTAAAAAGCTTTTGTCTCTTTTCAGCTTGTAGTCCCAATTCTCATGTATTCAAAAAGCACTGAAGGAAAGCTGACTTATCTCACACGAGTATCTTCACTATTATCTTGAATTCTGGTGTGAAATCCCTGTTTGATTTTTTTTTTTTTGGTCATTTCTTTTCCTGTATGTATCTCCAGCTCACAGGGCACAGCCGTAGATTGTCTTACAGAAAACCACATCTTATAGCAGCCTGAGACACATCAAGAAGGGAGAGTGCATAAATAAAAAAAAAAACACGAAGCCAAATGTGCCTGCTGAGATTTGTGCTACAGAATCAAATCCAGCTGTGCAGTGACAAGGGCAATGCCCATGAAGTGGCGCTCTGCCTTCCGAGGGCGCCTCGGTGGGACGTTTGGCCAAGCTCCTGATTGATGCTACAGTCCATTTTTGCTAACATAAAAAGCTGCATATGGCACATGTTTCTTGCCTTTGTTTTTTGGGTAGATTAAAAGGCCTGCTATAAAAATTTCCTGAGTGCACCATATGATTGGTTCATGAAGGTACACTAGAAGTAAATGTGTACAGAGACATTAAATATCCCATATTCTGAGATCGTTCCCTAAGACTGCTGTGAAAGGCTGCAGCTCCTTGTTGGTCTCTCCTTTCTGGCTTCTCTGGATGCCCAGCAGGACCCTCTCCCACATTTATCTCAAGGAGAAATAGGGGCCAGGCATTTGGAAAAGACTGGTTTCTGTGGGGATCTCAAACCAGCTTTCTCAGAAGTGGTGAGTTTAGACCTCAACGTCTCATGGGCAGTTACCAAAATACCAGCCTTACCTGCTGCTTACCCAGCGTTTATTGGTGTGAATTAAGCTTAAAAGTCAGCAGCAGCCTCCTGTCTGATCAATACTGTGAGATGAGGGAAGAGGCTACACAGCAATTCCCATCTGGAGTGACAAGCAGAGGTTTCCTCTTAGGCTAGGCAGAGTCGATACGTTTATTCATGGAGAAAATAGGTAGATTAGGTAGCTGTGTTCATGTGCTGCTAAGCAGAGGACTTCATCCACAGGTTACTCAACTTCTGGTGCGAAGCTTGATGGGAGCTTGTCTTCCATGTGAGCTGCTGTTTTTCTTCCACTGCCAGAGCAGCAACTCCCAGTGTTTTCATTCCCAGCTTATGGTGAGGGCTAAGGTGCTGGTTTTCCATGTTAGTAGCCCTGCCTGCGTTGTCTTTGTACAGGTGTAAATAAACCAGGCACAAAACTGCAAAGAACTGGGCTGACTGCAGTGGAGAGAGCCTCTCGTCTCATCCCACATAGGCAGCTCTCCCGTTTCCTCCTTTGCTTCTGGAGCTGGGAGACGGTCCTCCCAACATAACTCACCCTTCAGCAATGCCATTGTGAAATCACGCTGTGCGGGCACCTTTCATCTTCCTCCTGAATCTTCCTGGGTTTTTTTCTCCCCCTTTCTGAGAATTTGAATCTGATTCTTTCAAGTGCTAGCCTTCCTTTCCTATGACTCGGCAAGCCTCCTTCGTCAACAGCTCCCTGGTCCGGCTGATATGTCTGTTAACACCGAAAGCTCAGTGTCCTTTCCCCACCCCTTCTCGTGCCCCATGTCTCTTGATTACTGCTAATGATCGGATGTTGCTTTGCTGTTTGCCTAAGGCCAAAGTAGTTGACACCATTTCATGCAAGACCCCATTTTATTGGGGTCCATTTTCCAAATCTCTTTGCAGAGGGAGGAGCTCTTCCATCACTTATTACACAGCCTGGTGCAGCCTCGTGCCCCAGAGCTAAATCCACACGTTCAGTGACACAGAAAGTAATCGTCTACCAGAAAAGCCAATACTTTGCTACCTGCTGTAGAAAGTGTGATACGTTGTCAGGGTAACAGGCTTATTGGGTGTCTGGCCAGGTCTAATCACAGGGCAGCAGATGGAAAAATCTGTTTCTTTCTCATAAGTGGAAGTGGCTCCGGCTTTGGATGTAGCTGTTAAGGGATTTGTTTGTGTGAAATGTTGGTATCGGTTCCTGTAACTGTGTGAGGTGTTTCAGGAAAATCTTGTGGAGCATGAACTGCTGAAAAAATGAAAGCTGCCTTAAAATTATGCTATCTTATGGCTGTCATTCCAGTGGTGGCATTTTCAAGTAGAGGATGACAAAACAGGTATAAGAAACGATCTCATGAGTCTGACTTAACACTTAGGCGGATTCAGTGGATTTATTTAAAATTTTCATATAAAAAGTGGAAGGGGGTAGACGAGAGAGAGAGAGCTATCTTTACTAGGGTTGCTGTCATTAACCACAGGGATGGACAGAAATAGCTGCATTGAAATATGAAATGGTACTGCCTGTGTTTAATTAAAAGTTACTCAGAAAATGGAATGATCCATTCCATTCCAAGCTGAAGGCAGCTGTTTCCAAAGTGGCTCTTGCTCTATTGGTATGGAAAGAAACTTTCAACATTTATCACGAACTGAAAATGTTCAGTCTGAAAACAAGAAAACATTTCTAGAATGTTGAATCAGTGGGTACAAAGCATTTCATTTACATATGATTAAAGTGTAATCTAAAATATTAACTAGGACCTATAATAGATACAAATGTGTTATGATAATATAAACTTTAAATGGCATGAATCAAAATGATAGAATCAAAGAAATTGTCTCATGTTCATGGGAATGAAATGAGAAACTCGTGAGGATTTGCTTTGACAGTTTCCCACAGAAAATGTTGTTGAAACCAATGTACTTCTACAGAATGTTTTACGTTTTGGTAGTATTTTATTTTCTGGCCTTCAGATGCTTCTGCCTGTTGAAAATTATCCTCCTAACACTAATACTCATATCAGAATACACTTTCCAGCTAGAAAGCCTACACGTGGGCCCCCAGGTGTGCGTTCAGTGATCTAAAAGCACTTTTGTGCCCTTCCTGCCTGTCTTCTGTAGGAATTGGGGATGATGAACTCTTCTGACCTTCCGTTTTGACCCAGGAGCCGAGAACTACCTGATCACCTACACACACAGATGCATTTTGGCTTCTGAGAGTAGAGCGGTGTCAGGACCGTACAGTTTCACTTCAAAGCCTTTCTATTACATAAACCAGGAGGATGCACAGCAAGAGGACATGGAGAGATAGTGACTCCCCATCAAGGCATGGAGGGAGGCCCCATGGCGGTCTGTTGAGCAGTATTAGATATCGCCATTAGCTCAGGTGCTGGGTGTTCCTGGCATCTGCATCTTTTCTGTAATCTTCTTGGCACCAAAGTGCTCTCTGGGAGTGAAGTTTGCTGCAGGGATTGCCGTGTGCTTCCTGCAACGTGTGCTGAGATCCTTCTAGGTGCAAACATACATAGCCCTATGTGGATTATGCACTTGTAGTGAGCGCCATGGGCAGGGTTGGCATCAGGCTGGTTTCACAGCAGACAGCGCTCAGCTTCCACCACTGAGCAACCAGCCAGCACTAACAAGAGTGAGGTGTTTCACCTCTGCAGCAGGTGGGAAGCTGGCAGCAGATATGCAGTGCCCCAGTGCCCTGTTCCTGTGTTCCCTGGTCTGGTCCTCAGCAGTGGCCCTGCCGGGAACACCAGGGGATTGTCCCCGCTGGGTTTCCCAGCTGTCATTCTATCTCCTAATGGCTGTGCCACGGACTGTGTTTTAGGAGCAGATCCCTATGTGCTTATCAAGTGTGAGAACCAAAAAGTGCGCTCCACGGTTCAACAAGATACTACCAGCGCTGTCTTCGACACACAAGCGATTTTCTACCGAAAGAACATCGACAGTCCCATCATTGTCCAGGTGAGAAGGGCGGCGCTGGGCGGGCTGCCAAAGACAGGTGAGGGAGCACAAGGCATCCCTGGTCTGAATGGCTAACGTATTAACTTTTCCTTCACAAGACTGATAGCCAGGATAAAAGTGTGAGAATTACTGTTCCCCTTGCCAGGCTATGGCTGAAGCTATTCAGCAGCCTTACCAATTCTCTAGTCCAGATCTTCTCCACAGGATAGCAAGTGATGACACTTAGGGATCAGAAAGCATATTCCATTTCTACACTTGGAAGGAATTTCCAGAATTACCTTTTGCCTCATTTGCTACCTGAGAAAACAGGGACAAAGAAAAGCCAAGTTTTATCCTGAGTCATTCTTTGAAATGAAACCAAAGTTAAAGCTACTACTGAGAAGTTTTTGACCAAGAAAATCCAAGAAAACTTTGAGTGAGTGGGATGGCGTTTCAGTTTGATGCGCACGGTTGTTCAGCCTCAGACAAATATAAGAACTATGTCTTCTTCATCAGTGTGGGAAGATATTACAGTGAAGCTCTGAGTCAATTCACTGTGGCCCATAAGCGATAGAAATTGAAGTAGTTTTATAGCACTGTGTTGTAAGAGGAGGTACATTTCTGACGGTTCATTGCCTGATGCAGTATCAGGAATTTCTGTGCCATAATACTCGTCTGAATTAATAGTATAGTCTACAGATGTTATAAACAGGAGGAGGATGATAGCAGTGTTATCCCCCAAACCACAAATTGCAGTTGTGGGTTAGAGGGAGCTGATACAACAGCTGTTGGAGGGCAGTCTGTCTCCTTGGCATGTGCAGGATTTACCCTACTGCTTAATCCATAGTAAAGATTGGATTTACAGGTGGGACCTCACCCCATCTCACTGTAGTGTGCAGCTCAAACACTTTCACTTTTCCAGGCTAATTGAAGGTTAGATACTAACGAGCTTCACAGACCAAACAATCAAAGACTGGCCTGTGACACTAGCAGCAAAAAACTCCTAACACCATTTCAGTTGAGGCTGCTATCTTCCCCCATCCCTGAGTAGTGAGGAAGGACGTATCCAAGGACTCCAAAGCCACTGCTGTCCCTGGCTGTGGCAGAGCAGGCCTGGCTCTAACGCAGCCAGAGGAAAAGTGCTGAAGACGCTGCAGAGGTGAGTGCAAAACCTGTATGAAGCAGGCAGAGTGGCACAGACAGGCTGATTGCAAGTAGGCTTTTACTGCTGATGAGCTCATACAGGTAATTTTTATTCCTCTTCTAGGTAGACTGTGACCTAGAAAGCAAAAAGCTGCATTTAGCTCCTTATTTGCATAGTGTATGCAAATGAGCATGCAAATCTAGACTCACCCTCATGTGCTCTAGACAATTAGCCGCATTTAGATGTGTGCCCCCTCCTCACGTGCCCCCTCCTCACTGCCGTTGCAAGGGGTTAATGGGAGTGAACCTCCTCCGCTATAACCCTTTCAAGTGGAGTGTGAAAGAGAAGTGCTGCTTCAGCTGCAGTTATTTCTGCTCCCTTGTCTCTAGGTGTGGAACAGCAATGTCTTGTGTGACCAGTTCCTCGGACAGGCGCTGCTGGCAGCTTCACCCGGTGACCCCAGAGAACAGCAGACTCTGCAGCTCCGAGGGAGAGGCAGCCGAGAAGCAGCCGAGGTGCCAGGTCGCATCACTGTCAAGGTTTTTTCCAGCGATGACCTCGTGGAGCTATGAATACCAGAGCCCCGCAGAGCCAGACAGAACTGTCACCTCGCAGCAGGGGGGCTTGTCTGTGCTTTCTGTGTGAATGACTCGGGAGCAAAGGTTGCACATAATCGTAATCGCTTTAAAAAACTAACTCTCCATATTATCATGGATAATGGGAAGAGAGGTTTTTAAGGGGGGGGACAAATATATATGTGTATATATATACACACAGATATAAACGCACACACACATAGATAGAGATAGATATATATATATATACACACACACACACTTGATGCAGCAAGCACAGTAGAAGATGGGCCAAACTAAACGTCAGCAGCCAAGTTCGTTAAAACATGACCATCTTGCATAGATAGCTCTCAACAGAAGCTGGACACGCGCGTGACTGTTCTCGCAGGTTCCCCGCACACGGCTATCGTTTCTCAGCAGCAGGAGTGGAGGCAGGCAGGATGGGTGCATCTCCAGGGTGACAGACCAGCAGGTTGGTGGGGTGGAGGGCACACAGTGGACTTGGGTGGCTCAGTCCTTGTCCACTGCCGGACTGCACCTATGAGAGGGATTTCTTTGAGCTTTGATATGAATTCTTCTTCCATATATTGCTATAACCATTTTGATGAATGTCACTGTTGCTGCTGCAGATTAGACTTTTTTGTGCCTAGCTAAAATGTCATTACCTGAGTAGTTCAGTAATTCGTAATCATAAGACCAGGTATGCCATGGCAACGTTAAAAGAGAGGGGCAGCTCTTGTACTCCCTGTTAGAACACGACAGCCAGTGAGAGCTTTGCCAACGTTAACCGCTCTCAGATTAACTTTCAGATTATGTTATTGCCCACCCCAAGCTGGTGACTCACAAATTGGTGTCTCTGGCCAGGAAAAGGGCACCTCACAATTCATCTGTGGCTTTGCTGAGAAGACAGACTCAGTGATGGGACACCCCCCCCCCTGCCCAAGGAAGCTTTCTTTAAACCACTTGGTGCTCAAATGGAGTAACAGTCACTTGGCCTTATTAGATGTGGTGGGTAGCACCAGACTGAAAGAGGACACAAACGCCACATGGTAGGGACGGGTTCGTAAAACAAAGGTGCTGTGCCTTGCCTTACGTTAGGTTTTCTGTCTGCAAGTTTTGCATCAGTTTATAGCTGATTGATAGAGCTGAAGTGTTCGATAAGGTTTAACTTGGGTGTGATGAAGGCAGGCATTGTTTCAGACTTCCTGCAGGGCAGGGGTCAGGTACAAACTTCCTTCTAACCTTTGCACATAGCCCAGTGGTAGGGTTTCCTCGTAGCAGACGTTTCTGTGTTGTCAAGGTGTAGTGATTCTGGTAGTGTGAGAGGCTCACAGTGTTAGAGCCCTCAGAAGTGGCATTTTCTGTAGTTGCAAATTCTGATTTTTGAGTGCGAAGCTAGGAGCTGACCGTTTTGCCTTTCATTCAACCAGAAAATTTGGCTTTCTTTGTACCTGGTCACCACTTCAGCCATTTTGTGCATGTTTTATAGTTTATAAAATGCCCCTCAGTAGAATTAACGTTTTCACAAAGGGTTTTGAAGTTTTCTTAGGGCTCCAAAAACATCACTGCTGAGGGAGAAAAATGATTCCTGACATCTGGAGGCTGGAACGCGAGGCTGTGCACGATACTGTACTGCCACCGGGTTAGCTGTGTGTGCCGAGGGCTTACATCCGGCTCTCTCGGGAGGGAGCTTGGGCTTGAGCCATTTCTGCACGCGGAGCGTTTGTCAGATGTGACCGGCACACCGTTGGCAGCCCCACAGGCAAGTGGAATTTTGTTCTCTGAAAACTCATAGCACCCGAGCTGCTCGCTCGCAGATATGATTGTAAAGTGCATTTAAAAAAAAAAAAAGCCTCAGGTTTCCCATACAGTCCGGAGAGCCTGAGCAAGCCACGCAGGGACCCGCCGAGGCCACCTTATCCCAGCGAGTGCCCGGCTTGTCGGCCGCGCTGCTCCCGTAC